TCTCTTTTGTGGCTCTCTTCTTTCTTACAGGGACATCAGTCATATAGGCCCCTCCTACACCAGTATGAACTCACTTATATCTGCAGCAAACAAGTCAGGTTACATTCTTAGTTATTGGAGGTTACAACTTCAACATATCTTTTTGTGGGACACAGTCGTTCTCACAACAGTAATCATGCAGTGTGAATTTTTTCCCCCTGTAAGATTCTTTTACTTGGCATGAAGTTTAAAATTTGTCCTTTTAAGTATATTTTCACTGTTTGACTTAGCTGTAATTTTTTGGCCTTTCTCCAGTTGACGGCACCTCCATTGTTTTCAGTTTTGGGCTTTTATGAATAAAGTTGTTGGGGAGGTTCTTGTACAAGACTTTTGTGATTGTATTGTTTCATTTTCTCTTAAGTAAATACTTATGGCATGGAATTGTTTAGTCATAGAGTAGGTACATATTTGGTTTTTTAATAAATAACCACGCCTCAGTCTCTTCTTCTTCATCCTCTTGGGATTTTGAGCACACACACGCTTGTGCCCAGTATGTTTTTCAAGCCACCAGATCTGGGACTTGAGCTGCATAGCTAGCCATGTGGGATCCAGCGCCCTTAACCACCACACCATATGCTGGCCCTCAAACTTTTTTTATTCATGAAAGGGCACACATATGAGAGAGAGGAAAGCACTCTTCAAAGAGCTTGATCATCTGCAGTCTCCTTCCCCTAGGCTTCTAGCTTGCCAGAATCCTGTGCATGCCCAGCAAGTTTCAAACTGACAAAGTGAGGCATTCGATTTGTGGTCAACAAGTGGCTTCCAGTTCAAGTGATACAGTATGCTACTGGCTACCCCACAGAGGCAGGGCATCCTTTTCTATTTCTCAAGGTGTCTTATACTTTTCTCCTGTATATTTCACTGTATTGTCTCAAATGGATCCTCCTCAGTAGCTAAAGTAAATGAGAATTTAGTGTACTTCTTTGCTGTCTGTCTGTTTATTTGTAGAGGTTTTTGCTATAGGGCTCTTGTGCTCACAAGAAAGACAGAGGCAGAGAGATAGAAAGCAAGAAATCACCCCCCAGGGGGATGGCCATGCTGCAATCCCTTCCCCTCCATTCTCCTCTTGGGATCTTGGGCACGCATGCACTGGTTCCAGGACTCGAACCGTGGTCGTCTACATCGGAGTCCAGCAATGTAGACATTATGCCATCTGTTGGTCCCCTTGCTGTTTATTAAAGGATTTACATAGCTGGTTTTAGTTCCTCCATTGCATAATTTGCAAACTGCTTGCCTGCCGACTATATGAAGCCTGAAGACATGTTTTATATGACCCACCCAGTGCTGACCTTTAAATTGGATATTTCTCATTAAAATCTAATTTCTGGACCCAGCCTAGATGGCACAGTTAGTAGCATGCCCTGCACTCAGTGCTAGAAGTCATGGGACCGACTGCTGGTTTGGGTCCCTGGCCTTGAACACACTGGTTGTGTTTGTGGCCTTTCAAGATCCTGAAGAGCTGGAGGGCTGCAGGGCAAGGACTGTGGCGTGATGAGACCCTGTTGGGAGTGCTTCTCTCGCTCTTTCTCATGCACATGCATGCACACACTCTCTTATCCTGGATAAGAAGGAATGCATATACACATTTGGATTTCTGAATTGTCCTGAGACAGCAATAAATATAGTTACATAGGCCTGAATTTCCGATGAAGGTAGTCAACTGGAGTTGAGAAATAGCTGTCCTTTTAAACAAGCAGATAGTTCCCTTTTTCTGGATGTTCCTTTTTTTACAGTGCCTTGTTCTTGTTTTATGGAATAGAATTCTCATCAAATCTGCTGAAGGTATACACACATACATATCTATGTTGTTTTGTATTCCTTAATTGTCTTTTAACTCCAGGGTAAATCTCCTTTGTATAGCATAGTGTTTCTTTCTAATTCTGTAGATGTATTTCAATTGTCTGCTGCTTCTTAGTTTAGCTTTGGTATTCTGAAATGATATTCTGAGAAAACACTTTGTATACATGGCTGGATATTAGTGACTGGCAGGCACTGGACGGAAAGCTGGCCATTGTGCTTTGCCACCCTAACTGCCAGATCGCAGGGGGCTTTGCTGTGGGCACCACCCCTTCTCTTAGCCGCTCAGGCTCTCTTTAGACAGTCAGTTTCTTTAAAGAAATATACATTTGTACACTTGCACACATATCCAGGAGGTAAAGTATTCTGATTTATAAACTGAATTCTTCTGTTTTTAGTCCTACACTTATTCACTCTGGACTCTATTGTGCCTTATGTATCCTTGCCTGATTTTAGCTTGACCTGTTCTCCGGCAGATTTGGGGCAGATTCCCTTCTATCTTAGCTATAACCTTCCATCCTCCCCTCTCCCTCTCTCTATCTCTCTCTCTCTTTTTTTTTTTTTAAAGAATAATTCATTTTATTTATCATTATTATTATTTTAAAATTTGCTACAGGGCACGTGGGCTCATCAGAAAGAGAGAGAGAGAGAGTGAGAGAGAGAGAGAAAGAAAGTTACCAGAAGTGATCAGGTCTGGGACTTGAACTGTAGTTGGCCATGTGGGAGTCCAGCACCCCATTGACCACATCTCCTATTTGTGGCCTTCCCTTCTAACGGTTATATTTTCCTTCATTCTGCTCCATCGTCTCCTCCCTTCCATTGGCTTCTTATTTTCTAAAAATGTATTTACTGATTAACCTTACTTTTCTAATCTCTTTGCAGTTGTGGAGTTACTTCATTTTTTAAATAAAGTATTTAATTTTATTTATTGTTATTTTTTAATTTGCTGTAGGGCACACACACTCACCAGAGAGAGAGAGAGAGAAGGAAAGAGAGAGAAAGTGAGAAAGCAAGCCACCTGGTCTGTTACTTGATCTGCGGTCAGCCATGGGGGAATCCAGCACCTCACCCACCATGCCACCTACTGGCTCACTTTCTTTCTTTCTTTCTTTCTTTTTCTTTTTTTTAAAGAGCGAGACGGAGATAGGTATTTTTGACAGAGTCATGCCATGCCACGATCCTGCCACCCTAACCTCCCAGTTAACTAGGATTGTAGGTGTATATTGCTATGCAGGGCAAGTCTGGGTTGCTCTAGGATCAAAGTTGAGCCTTCCATGTAGTTCCAGCATTACATAGTGGTGCCCTACTGCTTATGCCACCTCCGTGGGGCCAGGATTAACGTTTTTATTTTTTAATTTCTTTACTGTTATTTTTAAGTTTGTCACAGAATGCATGTACTCTCCAGAGAGAGACACAGAAGAAGGTGGGGAGGTGAAAAAGCAACTCCCCAGGAGAGGATGGCCATCCCTTCTCCTTCATTCTTTCGGGATTTGGGTCCTACACAAACATGCACCTGGTATATTTTTCAAGCTACCAGGTCTGGGATCCAAACCACATACTCATCCATGAAGAATCCAGCCACCTTCTGCACTACACAGCCAGCTGATCCCCTTTACTGTTAATTTAATGGCACCTAGAGGAAGGGTTAAGTATGTGTAGTCACATGCCATTTTGAGCCAAAAACACTAGGCCTTTTAAAATGGAATTTCAAAAGGAGATAGTAATTGTATGTTCTATTTTAATTTGGGGTTTTTATTTTAATATAATTTCTTCATTTTTTAGTTTTTGCTCACTAGAGAGCAAGAGAGTAAGAAATCACTTCCCAGGGCACCGCCATACCACAGCCTCTTCTCCATTCACCATTCACCTCTTGGGATTTGGGGCACACATTCACATGTGCCCATTGTGATTTCGTTTTCTTTTGCCATTTGCCATGGGTGCCTGGGCTTACTGGAGAGACAGGGACAAAGAAAGGGGAAGGGGGAGATCACCCTCTGGGGAGATCTCTTCTCCATTCTCCTCCCAGGATTTTGGGTACACATGCACATGTGCCTGGAGTGATTTGCAAGCCACCAGGTCTAGGGCTTAAAGCACAGTCGGCCATGTGGAAATCTAACCACCAGCTGATCCCACCCAACATGATTTTCTAGCCTCCAGCTCTGGGATTTGAACCATGTTGGCAGCCACCCAGCCAACTTTAACCTCTACACCACACGCTAGTTCATATTAATATTGTTTTATGTTTTTTTTTTAATTTCTTTTTTATTTTTTATTTTTGGAGAGGTTTTTGCTATAGGGCGCATGCGCTCGCCAGACAGACAGAGAGAGACATAGAGACAGAAAGAGAGAAATCACCCCCCAGGGGGGATGGTCACGCCGCAGTCCCTTCTCCATTCTCCTCTCGGGATCTTGGGCACGCACGCACATGCGCCCGGTGTGAGTTTTAAGCCACCGGGTCTGGGATGCGAACCGTGGTCGACTACATGGGAGTCCAGTGACATAGCCATTACGCTAACTGCTGGTTCCCTGTTTTATGTTATTTTAAGAGAGTTTTTTAAGAGAGATTTTTTGCTATAGGGTGGGTATGCTCACCTGAGAGACAGAGACAGAAAGAGACAGAGTGAGAAATCACCTCTGGGGGGATGGCCACGCTACAATCCCTTCTCTTCCATTCTCCTTTCAGGATTTTGGGCATGAATGCACACATGTCTAGAGTGAGTTTTAAGCTGCTGGGTCTGGGACTTGAACTGCAGGCAACTATGGGGGAATCTAGCAACATAACCACTCTGCCATCTGCTGGTCCTGAGATTTTTTTCTTTCTTTCTTATTACAGGGCATGTGTACTCACCAGAGAGACAGAGAGAGACAGAAAGTGAGAAATCACCCCTCAGCAGGA